TCAGTAGTTACATTTCTTCTATTACCAGAGGCTGGAGGCCAAGGACTGTTATGTCAAAAGTAGTACTGCAAATGTTGAGCATAAGTACTGGAGACAAATTTAACATACGGACTTTGTAAAGCTGTATGGGATTAATCTAGGCTAGGATCCTGAATCCTCAGTGATCAGCACAAGCTGATTCAAAGGATAAAACCAGCAGCAGGTACTTGTCTGAAACTGTCTTCAAGGAAAGTTTTTCTTTTTAGGCACAGTAGTTAGAGATTGCAGCAGTGCTTCAGATGGTGTTTAAAGAGTCTGTCACCTCTTTCCAAGAACTGAATATCTTGAGCATCTGCTAGATATTCAGAAGTGATTCAGATCAGGTCTCTAAGGAGGAAAGGTAACAAGGGTTTGTAAATATGATCAAATCCTACAATAATAACTGAACATCAATGCTAGCTTTAATGAGAAAAACAGAAGGTGTTAAAATGAGCTAGAAAGCTTTTAGGCCTATTTAGTCTCTCTGCCAAATGAACAGCTTTAATACACAAGCTTTTTGCATGCTCATGCAGTTAACTCAGTATGTTTTATAATGCTTGCCTTGTTAGTGAAAGATAAGAATTTCATTGAAATGCAACAACTTCAGTGAAAATATCTGTTATTTCCTGATTGCTTAACAATTCTGATTTCTTCTGATTTCAATCCCATTACAAGAATTACAAGTGAGGAAGGACTCCTATACAGCTGCTTCAGAAATTGTTTGTCTTCAGTGGCACATTTGTTTTTCATCTGAGTGTTGACTTAAATTGCATTTCATCCCTCATTTATATTTCTCATCTGCATGATAACATTGTGCACGCTGATGCAGTTTCTCTTGCTATCATTCACGACTCTTTCTGACTTCATTTGACACTGTATTAAGGTAGACCACATTCTTGTTAACATTAATAAGCTCCAAAGTGGTTGAGTGCTGCTTTGAGTGAAGACACATGAAGGGAGGGAAATGTAATGACTGTACACACTGTGAAGTGAAAAGGCTGTCTTAATGGACTAAAATCAACTTAGAGGATAAAATGATTTGACTAACATATAGTTGAGATTAACTTGTCTGATTCAGCCAACAGCTTGCTTAAAGTATCATTATTACCATATCACTAAGACCTACATTGTAAAGGGTTCCCTGAGTCTGATAGCTCTGGTAGCACTCATGCCTGTAAAACCTAATTTTACTCCTGGGTAGGTACTTAGTCTAATTTATTTCACTTCCTTATGCTTATTGCAGAGAATATATTTGGACATAACATTTGTTCTCAAAGTCTTTTGAAATGAAAAAAACCCCTAAGCTACCGGAATGTCCTCACAAGGAGAGTGGCCAGTTCAGAGAATTGTTCTCAATGAAACTGGGTCTGAAATCACGCTAAGATTTTCTCTGTATTTATGGATTGCATAACTTGTAGTGTCAGCTGCTGGATGGCACAATATACTTCCAGTCACAACAAACATTCACACAAACACTATACTATGCGTGAAGGAAAAAATCGTGACAATGATTTTATTATGGTTAATGGAGCCATAGAGCTCAACATGGTGGTACAGTGTGTCTGCAAAGAGGGTTTTGGTTTTTTTAACTTTACATTAATACTTGAGAGATGACTGAAATAAAAATACTTTAAATCTAATGCAGGATTAAAACACAGTTGGGTGTTCTTCAGTCTTTATTTTGTACTTCTGTTGCTAACATACAAAAACATCACTGTCTTTATGTTTCCAAAGATATTTTTCTTATTATATCATTACTTCATTATATCTTCTAGCAAGTAACATCACTGGCAGTCGATCTGTGTATGCATATGGACAATTTTTTCCGATATTTTTACTTAAAAGTTTTGAAAGGGTGAAGCATAAATGTAGCAAGGTTCTCCATTCTGTGTGCCAAGAACCTTCTTTCTTCAGAAAGTTGGAGCACTTGTTTTCCAAGAATTCTGTGGAGAGACAGAACTTTTTCACAACTCGAATTTTTGAAAGTGAATTGGATGCAACCGAGACTTTCAGAAAAGCCTGATCTCTTAGCAAACATAGGAGATACTGAAAACATGAGATACTGGAAATTTTGTGTATCCTTGAGGGCGGGCAAATAAGTCAAGACAAGTCTATAAGAAATATGTTGAGCCACTTTGTGGGGCACATTGGCTGTACTTGCTGTGCATTTTACGTGACTTCTTATATTGTGTATAAAGTGCAAATATTAGAAGTGCTGAGACCCTTGTAACCAGGACTAGAACTTCTAGAATTGCTGTGGTAGTGAAGCCGAGTAAAGTGGATACACTCTGCTGACCTACTGTTTTAGAACTTACTTTTTTTAGTAGACTTTCCTCTCCAAAATCTTATGCCAATAATGACAAAGCAACAGAGTAAATAAGTAGGTACTTTAGCCAGAAAGTTCAGCTACTGACCTGTGTGCTAGGGATGATTTTACATTTCCCAGCATGCATCCATTTTGAAAGTTATCGAGGGGAATTTGGACTTCTAGGCCACTGCAGAATAATCACTGAGCAGTTATTTGCTGAAGACAGTCGCTATTACTAAGGTCCTTACTCCACATCCTTTGAAGGCACTGAAGGATTGTTATTGATTTTTGAGTAGCATTTGTAAGGGGCCTGTGCACTTCAGACCAACTGGACCACATCATTAGACTATCTAAGGGATTTTCCATCAAATATATTTCTGAAGGCAACACTAATAGAAGAACTCTTAACCTCTGAATCAGAAGATGGATGTATTAGTATTTTAAAGGAAAGAGCTTCAAGAAAACAGCTGCTAAAAGGCTGTTTGAAGTTATGGATCACGAGCTAATCCTTGATTTATGAAAGCAGCATGGTAACAGTTTTCTAATTAATTGATCTGATTGTTCTCAAGAGTGTTGGAGTCTTAATATTCACAGGAGTCAATGATTAGGAAAACCTATTTCTTGGCATCAAAACAAAGTGGACTCTTAGAAAAAAAGAATGTAACAGCTGCTTGGCCACACTCATTGCACCAGTGGCAGCTGGTGATGTAGCCACGTGAGTCCCATGCCAATGGACTGACTCACCCAACCTTCTCCTCTGGCATGGTCCCTCTTCTGTTGTAGCAGTATTTTAAATACTCCCAACACTGCTCTGAGGCTCCCTGGCTCTGATAACACCGGGCACTCAGGGCTACACGTGGAGGTTGAGGTTCCCAGTTCCTGAGCGCTGCTGCAGCTGGGGCTGTGTGGGTGACCCGTACTCACCACTGCTTTGCATTAGGCTTTGGATGAACACATCTGAATGTGTTGCAGAAATCCTGGGTTTTTGTAATAGAATTTTAGAGTCAGGTCAAATTGAGCTAACTGAGATTTAGGTGAGATTACAGTAAATTTCACCTCTAATTAATTGAGCACCAATAGCACCTCAGCCAGAGCTGACACAATTTTTTTAAAAAGAACAGATTTCCACACCCGAGTTACAAATAAAATTTTAACGGGTTAACTTGGAAACAATGGTATCTATATCTGCCAAGCAAAGACTAAAGTTTATTTACTGCGAGAAGCTAGAATTAAAATTTCTGTTAAAAAAATTTCTCTTTCTAAAAAAATTAAGCACACAACTTCAACTTTGTCTTTTACCTTCGATTAGTGTTAATCTTGGGTTCTCATGCAACCTAATTTACTGTTTCCATAAATAGAATCCAAACAAGAATGCTATTTTTTTGAAAGAAAATACATATTCCCAGGGTTTTACACTCAAAATCAAGCAAAAACATGAGGAAATTAGTCTTCAGTTTTAGGACTTTCCTTTCTTACTACAATCTGGTTATCTTGACCGCCATGTTAGCTAGTAAGTTTACCCAAATACCAGTCTGGTGTTATTGTAATTGCTACTGACAAAATGCTTATGCATAACTTCTCCAAATTTGTGAAGTTTATTAACAAGTGAGAAATGTAAACTTGAGAAAGCCAACACATTTTTATCTTTATTATACTGGATATGCCCTTCCAAAGGACACAGAGTTTGCTCAGAAGTTCGGCTTTAAGAGATCATAAAGCTTTTGAAAATATTTATTTAAAACACAAAACTTGCATGTGTTTTCCTTGTAAATAAAGGATAATGTAGTGCAGAAGAAGTTTATTTAAACTATGCATACAAATATGCATGAATGCCAATTGGATTCAATTTTGCTGCCTTAATTTGAATTAACTGATGGGTCTTTTGACATAAGCTGTACTAATTGTTGCTTATTTGGGTGCAGTATATCAGTGAGCATGGCAATCAAAAGCTTATCCAGATGTTCATATTTTCTTTGATTGCCCACAGCCTTAGGTTTGAAGAAAAGTCAATCAGCAAAATTATTCTTAGCAGCTGTCAAGGTACTGATCACATTACCATAATAGTCAGAAAAGCAGAATGACTCTGATTCCCCTTTCACTTACCCTGGTATCAGCCCTCAGTAGCTCTCTGCACTCTTGGTTTGATACCATCACAAAACAGGGAAATTTTGTGAAATTAGAGCAAATGCCCTTACGAGTAGTTGATTTCACCACAGCGAAGCATGAATGTATTTTTATCTTCATATGAATTTATATTTATGTGAGTAACTTCTATAAAAGTATATTTTGTATGTTTTATACTGGTATATGTTTACAATGAGTTATTGACGGATGGGATATTTTTTTCAAACATCATATAAAAGCTTTTAAGAACTTGAAAAATGAAATGTATTGCACCCATGTGCAGGAAACCTAACCCTACTGAAACAGTTTCTTTGGATTTGCCTTAAAACTTTTGGACTCCTGTAAGATACATCAAGCTTTACATTTACTACACAAACAATTTCTTTCAATTCTATTGTGTTTTCACAAAAGCATCCAGATAAAATTCATTTGTGTGTATTTTTTTTTTCAGATATTATAAAAGCATCTGACAGAGAGAGTTTGCATTGATTTTCTTTTGAGACAAAATACAGTCAAAACTGTCTTAACCTTTCTCTTCTTTTATCCCCAGGTGTTTGAAATGTGTCCATGCATTTCCTGCATAATTGGATCCTACCTCATTAAGGGTAAGACTTTGTTTTGCAATCCTGATAGGAACAGTAGTTAACAAGGGGGAATGCATGGTTTGCACCTGTGTTAACTTAAGAATTACCTGGAATAATGGTCTGGAGTTCTCCCCTGCTCAGGAATGTTTTACCTTGCAGTCCTCACCTGGCTGCCTGGCAGCTGAATACTTTGAGCAAAAATTATAATCCCATTTTTTTCTGATGCCCTCAGCCTAAGACAATTTGCAGGCAAGGAGAACTGAGGGGAAGAGAGCCCAGCCTCTGTCTATGTGTAGGACTGGTGCAGGTCTCTTACTTGTTGCATAGAAACATGCTGAAACTGTGAAAGTAGAAGAGTCCTTGCCATGGTCCTTAAAGGTGATGGACTGTGGAAGATTTCTTATTTTCAGGTGTTTATCTTTGAAGTTTGCTGAAATGTCCTTCATGTTTCATGAAGGGCAAAAGCAGACCTGTGGGCAGTAACAGCACTGTGTGCTTCTTCTTCCTATTGAGTAACAGAGTATGTACTTCTCTTTTAGACCTTTTAATGTGTGTCATGTCAAAAAGATGAATTTAACCTGACAGATGAAGATAATAAGGGAAAGATTCTGGAAATGTTATTATGGGTGATGAGCTCCAGCAGCAATTAATTCAGGAATGAGATTGCTGAAGGAAGCTCCCAGATTCAACCACAAAACCTTGAATGTGGCTTAGCTCTCAATCAAAGCTTTCAGGAAAAGAGATTACATGAAAGAGGAGCTACTGCATCCACCACAAAGCTGCTTATTTATGACTCATGTCTCAGTGGAAGAGTTTTCAGCATAAGAACTTTTTGAATGGTGCTTCAAAATCAATGACACACAACCCTAGCTAGTTTATAGAGTTGTTTGCATACCTGCTATTAGAAGGCCCACAGCTACTAAGTTTTGCAGCCCTTTCTACCACAGAAATACTGAGGTAAAGGAAAAAAAAACAACGCTGTTCTTCCCTTCACTCTCCAAAAAGGTTGCCAGAGCACATGCACAGCTTTGTGTGTTGTGAGGAGGAGAGGGAAAGGTTTGTATTTTGTGGGTTTTGGTTTTTTGTTGGGTTGGGTTTTTTTAACCTTATTTATGCCTTTGAAGAGATAACAACTAAATATGAATCCGCTTCTTCCACACCTACAGATATAAAAATCTGTGGATGCTTTGTCTGGGACATTAATATGATGCTTTTAAGGAGAAATGAGAATTGAGGGGAAGAAAAATGCCTGACAAAATGATGCTGGGCTGAGGCAGCCCCATGGACACAGAGAACCTGTGCTGCCAGTGTCAGACCAAACTCCCTCCTTGGTAGAGGTGGAAGCTTTGCTCAGAATAAATATCCAAATAAGTGTAATTAAAGCCATGTCTTAAAAGAGGGCTTTTGTGTATTTCATCAAATACTCAAGTGCTAGTATCACCTTGAGTGCTCTGTGCAGTTTTGGGTGCCACAATACAAGAAAAATCTAAACCTATTAAAGAGCAGCCAAAGGAGGCTACAGAGATGGTGAAGGGCCTTGAGGGGAACCCATATGAGGAGCATCTGAAGTCACTTGGTCTGTTCAGTTACAACTTCCTTGTGAGGGGACGAAGAGGGGCAGGCATTGATCTCTTCTCTGTGGGGACCAGTTACAGGACCTGAGGGAATGGCCTGAAGTTGTGTCAGGGGAGGTTGGATATTAGAAAAAGGTTCTTCGCCCAGAGAGTGGCTGGGCACTGGAACAGGATCTCCAGGAAAGTAGTCACAGCACCAATCCTGCCAGAGTTCAAGGAGCATTTGGAAAATGCTCTCAGGCACACAGGTATGATTTTTGGGGCTGTTCTGTGCAGGGCCAGGACTTCGGTGATCCTTGTGAGTCCTTTTCAACTCAGGATATTCTATGATTCCTCAGCTGTACTTCGTCATGTTTCTTTGTAATCCTCCCTTGTCACACATACTGTGTTTGTAGGCCCTGGGCTTTACCCTTTTCTGCTTTTTGCAATGTTACAGCCCTGACCTCTGTGTATGTGAGTCAGCCTGCATTTATTTACAGATATTTGGGAGCACACATCAAGCTCTGTCTTCCTTCACTGTGTTTAAACAGAAAAGTTCGGAATGATATCTGGCTATGAAAAATATTCCAGTGTTGCAAGAGAGCCCTAAAGTACTTTGATGTTTTTGCTTCCTCTGAGTTATGCCTCTCATTAGTGTTAAATGTATCATTTCATACACCATCACAGCTGAGTTCCACTTGGGTAACGTGCATCTGAATTTGCTGTATATCTATATGATGTATTTATTGTTATGCATATTAAGAGGTTATTAACTAACTGTGCTTGCATATGTTTCAGCCCTTAGTTGGCTATCAAATTTGTGATTTCTCTTTCATCTTAGTTTTATAGTAGATGATTCTAACCTAGTCATTAAATTTAATGAGTAATCACACTGGCTAGCTGCTGTTTCTACATGGTACACTTGTGCATACAGTCATCAGAAAGATTATGCAAAACATGAGAAATGAATGCACACGTGCAAAACTGCATAATGTCTTGAAATAGTCAAGAATCATTTAATCAGGAAAAATTTCAGGTATTGTCAGTTCACGTGTACTGTCCATTTTTAAATTTTTTTATTGCTTTCTCCAGGAAAATTTTCTTGGAAAGATGTGATGCCAGTTCAAATGTCGTTCCTCAGTGCCACAAAATAATGTGGCTGCTCCACAAGAATAGAGATCCTGCAGAGCAAGCAGTGTCAGGACTGTTTTGAGAGTGAGAGGTGAGCGTGGGAAGGGAGGGGATGGAGAGCAAGGGACAGGGACGTGGCTGCAGCCAGTGCTGCAGGTATTAGCAGTGCTGTGTTTTCCGTAGAGACATGGAATCGTTGCTGTTGGTTTTAGGTGTGTGTTTTGTAAACCGGGTTTGCTGCTGCCTCCTTACCAGGGGGCTGGTGTACCCCTGCTAATTGGCAATGAGAAACAGACCCTGACCCCTGCTCTACACCAGCAATCACATGGGATGCTCCCAGACTGGCCATAAAGATTTCTCACCCTCTTGCCCTATATTGAGGGAAGCAAATTCTCCTATCATCCTTTTCCCACATATTTCCCCACTACTTTCTTACTTCCTGCTCCCCCTCCACATTTTCCTCCTTTCTGTTGTGAGAAACTATTTTATTGTGCCTTTATTCTTCTATTTTATTGCACCTTTATTCCACTGTCAGTATTGTGCTCAGCTCCTGTACCCCAGCACATGGACTGTCTCAGTGTGGCTATGAGGGGACTTCCTCCTACCAGTCAAATATTTTCCATCAGTTTGGAGAAAAACATCTTATAATTTCAAATGGAAACATCACAGCTAAAAAAGTGGGGGAAGTTGGAAGGTGAAACATACTTTGGTCTTTTCAGAATTTAAAGTGCGGTGGAAAGTTTTTAGAAATTAAAATTCCTTTTCTGGCCCTTTCTGACAGTAAACAGCTTTGATCTTAATATCTGTGCATTGAACAACTCTGCAGGCTTAGAGCAAAGTGGATATTTCTAAAATCCTTCTGAGGAATAACAAAAGGATAAGTGATCCCTATACATCCAAATCAGAAAGTTACTGAATAGCGAATGTTATGAAGATTATCTATTTATGCATTCTCCAGAGCCTGAGCCCTCACATTGTGCTGTGTTATCTTGTGAGCCAATTTGGGCAACAGGACCCCAAAGCAGAGCTACTTTCTCACCTGAGCTGCCACTGAGATGATATTCTAATAAAAAAAAAAGGCACAGGCCCAAGAGACTGTATGAATAGAATATAAAACTTTACCTTTTTTTTTTGTTTGTTAATATTTGACAGAAAGAAGCTTTTATACCAATAAAAACAACTTCATTCTAAATCCTTTCACCTCTCATTCCAATAAATTTACTTTCTGTGCTGTAATGAAGAGTACCTGCTCTACAAGTCATGCAGCTCCATGACAGTACCCTGGCTGACTTCACTGGGCTTCCTGTGTAAGATGCTGAGTAAACTAACAAATAACAAATCAATGTTTCCATTTCAGAAACAACAATTATATTGTAATGCTGTTATTGTTATTTGTGAGTCATATCCTGGGTTTCAACATTTAGTTAATATTTTCTGTTTAAAAACTCGGGTTTATGGCTCTGCTGTAACTATGTTTACTTTTTATTTGTGCTGGGGAACTTCAGAGCTTGCAGGTTGGACCTCTGCAGGCCACAACCTGATGGCCCTGCACTGCTGCAGCACAGGGGGTGCTGTGGCCATTTTCAAGATCTTTGGCTATGAGATATTTCAGGTTGAGAGGAGAACTCAGTGTGAGGCTTCTGTGTTCATTCCTGGTTAAGATGACCTTGGGACTCTGGGCAGCCTTGTTATCCCAACCCTGGAAACTCAGAAAGGTTCTTTTAATTAACCATTACATCCTTACACCATATCCAGTTTAGAGAACTTCTGGGGCTAGAGAAGAATTAATTTGGTTTTCTTCTGGCAATTTATTGGGTGGACTGAATTTTAATTTTCATTTTCATCTGCATTTTAATCACTGTGCAAGCTGGAGTTCTTTTATGTTTCAGCAAGATTTAACTACAATGCCTTTTTGATGTTTTAAAAAAAAATTTCTTAGATCATACCAGGGAGCAGAGAAGGCACTTAGATCCCAGTCCCACTGCTGAATTCTTAACAACTGCTGTCTCTTACTGAAGTTAGGTGTGTTTTGATGGAGATCACTTCTTCTACCCTTGAGAAACTGGAAACAAAGTCAAGGTCTGCCAAAGCTCCCTGGACAACCCAGACAAAACCCGTCCGTGGTAGCAACAATGTAGGCTTTGGCTCCATCCTCCCTCATTAGAACTGAACCTTCATTCAACAGCTGGGAAAGAAACAAGCCCAATTTTGGCCAGAGCAGTATGTCTGAATATCTGTGTGCTTGCAGCCTTCCTCACTGAAATTATCTTCAGTGTTCTTACTGAAAACAAAATGTGTAAATAGCTTTAGAGCAATCTACTCCCTTGCAATCATCTTGGCATTGCTTTTCACTGAACTAACAATAAGCCTCTGATAATTTATGTGCCTACCAAAGGAACACAAATAAGACACATTTCTCGGTAAATATAATAGACAGGACATTTAATATGCTGTCTTTGTCATTTTCAGTTTTTTTGGTGCATGTACAATAGAAGATGTTCATTCACAGAAAAATGAGTGTGCTTGCAATAGAAAATCCATGGCTTTTAAAGCTTCTCCTTCTAGTCATTAGCATGTGAAGCTTCATTTTAAAATTAACAAAGCCGTTCCCCAGGGGAAAAATCTTAAGCAGATTAACTGTCCTTATTTTTTGAATCAGATGGTAGCTTTTTGTGTCACAGGGTGACTGTTGATGTTAGCCATAATGGCTGCCCGCTTAGACTGAAAATAAAATCTTTATTACATTTTATGAAGTTTTCCAAGAGATGTACCAGTCATGGTGAATTGATATTGCCCTATCCTGGGCTAGAAAGAGGAAAGGAGAGAGAGGTGAAGAAACTACACCTACACACAGAACAGTTTATGCCTCTATGGTCAGAGCTTGTCACTTAAATCTCTATTGTATATCCGTGTTATTCTGGACAGAACATTGCCTCAGTATTTGTGGGCTTGTGTTTGCCATGTGCTGACTCACTCCATTTCCATGCAACATAACCACAATCTGTGTTTGCAGTGGGGAAACCATCTCCAGGATGGCTTTTCTGGTTAGAGGGGCTTGAAGCAAACTTTCAAGATAAACTGCCCAGTGTGCTTTAGGTCAGGTGACCCCTCAAGATTACAGAACGTCCAGGTTCTGTTTTGTCAGTTCCTACAAGTAAAATCCAGATGGTATCTAATAGTTCCAACCTTTCTGGGATTGCACAGGTTTTTAATTTAGAATGGGAAAAATATTGATCCTTGTTTTCTTTTGGGTTTGGTTGAGTGAGGAATTTGGTTTGCATAATTTTTTGTAAGTTTGTTTTTATAATAGTGTATGAAGGATCTGAATCTGAGGTTTTATGTTTTTATGGTTAGTAGGATTTAATTACAGAATTTTATAGGAGGACTAATGTGTGAGTTTTGATGTGAAATTTCTTTTTGTTCTAAAGAGTGCTCTTTTTGTTTTTTAAGCACTGCTAAGATGAGACTTCTGTCGAGAGAAAAACGGAAAGCATAATTTTTGCTTAAAGGCAAGAATATATAATGGCATTTTCCCCCTTTAATCTGAAACCTGGAGAGGAAAAACAACAGCATTTTGAAAAAGAGAATGGACAAAGAGGAGTGAGAATAACTGGCAGTGGTGAGATGTTTTCACGACAAGGATAAATAGTAAGGTATGTGGTTAAGGCCTTAAGAAGGGTTAAAGAATAAACCTGATGGGTCATTGCCTGAGAAGTGTAGAAGACTCAAGTTTATTTTCTCTTTTGGGATGTTGCCAACACAAACCTTGGCAAGATGCTTTGACTAATTCTGGCAAAATCTAGTTTCATTTGGCTTCTTGAATACATCATTGCACTTTTAGAAACAACATTCTGCTGCAGACTAATCCTGACTGTAAAAACACAGCCATTTTTATTTTTTACCCATATCACCCTAAAGCACATCACCCAGAAGTGTTGGGGTTTTTTTTAGACAGGCTTGAACAGCTCAGCCCCTAACTTAACCTGGCCCACTTGAGCAGCAGAAAGTAGCTTCTCTTCTGCCAGAATTATCAGAGCTGCTTTCACAGCTTGCTTAGACATAACTAGAGTTAATAAAGAACAGTTAGCAGATTAAAAAAGATAGGCTGTTTTGGAGAAGGCCCTGGGGACATACGTCTCTAGATGGGCCCCATCACCAGTTCTGGTTCCACTATCTAAAGCAAGGTGCTGGAAATTTTGTGTTCCAGTAGTTTCTAAGTCTTGGTCTAATTCTTGTCTTCTGTTTCCCATTAATAAGTAGGGTCACTTGCCTACTTTATGGGGTCCTACAAGGATAAGCACAAGACTGTGAAGCAGACAGACACTGTATCTTGTAAGAGTGGCTAGAGATGGAATATCAGGCTCCTTTCTCATGTTTGATAGGACTGCTGGAGCTACAACTCCATACAAGCCAGATGTGAACTTATCAGCCCTGCTGCACAGTGACGAGGCCAGACCAGCAGCTTCACTGTTGACACTTCTCCTCCCAGTGCTGTTGCCCAGTGCTTGCCAGGAGACGTAGTAAGATTACTTTTTTTTAGAGCCTGGATGGTCTGGAAGCAGAATGAAGTTACACTAATGACTGTGGGTGAGTTCTGGACACTGAAATAAGAGAATGACCAATCCAGATAGACAAGACTTGATTTTATTAATAAAATTTGTATTTTCCTCTTTGAGGTGACAGTTACAAACTTTGGTTCAAAAATAAAAGAAAATATGAACAGCAAGAAGTTGACTTTTGAAATCTCACTTTTACATGTATAAACGTGCATAAGAAAATACCAGTTGGAAACGAGCCAGCAGAAACTAGTACTATTTAATTTAACAATTTATAAGAAATAGAAACAAACATTTCTTTTCAAGTCTTACATATATTATGAAAAATAATTACAAAAGGATTTGTGTTGTAAAGCTAAAATGTAATTCCTACTTCCAACTACCTGAATAAAATGTTCAGAGGGAAGGCCAAACCAACCTGTGTTTTTGGTGAGCTTTGAATAGCAAATTGTAAGGGTTTGGGTCAAAGACAGCTCTGTAGGAAGCAGTCCCTCGTATGTTGCTTAGCAACTGTGTAGAATCACATGACCTAGACATATTGCATCCCTGGCCTTCAGGTGGAATAACAGGAAGAAAAATCATTCATATTAATGGGACGGGCAAATATTGTATAGGACCATTCTGTGGAACTTTTAGTATCCAGTTCAGGAAGCAAACATCCATTGCTTACATAAACATCTAAGTAAACACTGCAAAACTCCATAAATAACTGTTTAGAATTCAGTTTTTATATTTATGCAGACCAAATAAGCACAATGGAAACAAATCTAGATGAGATTAAAAAAAAAAAACGACAAAGGAAACCTATATGACTAATTTATTTCACACAGATTTTTTAACAGTTCTCTTACACAGAAGTTTGTTTTTTTTCTTACATATTTTCCCCACCCAAAAATATAAACTTGTTTCTTTTAGGTATATACAGTTATCTTATGAAATTATGGAATTAGAAAAGAAAATAAGAAGTCTGAGGTATTAGCACCATGGAACACAGCACCTTTGAAGGTGCTTTCATTATCAAAATTAATTGTCACAGAGTGATATCAGCAGAAAAGAGTTGTTTGAGTGTGCTGCTCAAGATCTTCCAGTTTTGCCACCTTAAGTTTACTGGCAACTTCAAATAACAAAGCTCTTCAACAACAATATATACAAAGGGATTTTATTATTAATCAGAAATGGAATTGGCTTCACCGGCAATTACAGTTTTATTTTTTCAGAATACATACACAGTATTGACCATGTAGTTTTGTAAATGTAAAATAACAGCCAGATGCAATTCAGAGACACATGCAAGTTTTGGAAATGGACAGAGAAATAACAGTATAGTACTGTACATAGAATAATTACAGTTTATTAAACACTTTCTTAACACCTCTTTGTTGTAATGGAAGGAGCACCATGTCGTTCGTTTTTTACAGCACCAGAGGAATCCAAAGGGGGTGTTCCTGAAGTGAGCCCTATGTTGTCTGTCTGTGCCACAGCATCTTTGCAAAATAAGTTTAAGTCATGTGATTCTGGCCCTACAAGGGCAATGATTACTTTCTAGATAAGACATACATACACAGCAAGACACATTTTCTATGCCATCCTTATTCAAAACTTGCATGTGGCATGAAGTGGGTTGGTAGCACCAAAGTGCAACATTTTGTTGATCTGATTTTGTCTTAAGCTTAACCAAGGAAGCAGACAGGACCGACCTCAAATCCAAACTTCTGATTCTGATCACCAAAGTCATTGATCATCACATCAACTATGGGCACTTGGTCTATTTTGGGCGTGTTGATTTCAATCACTGTCTTTGCATAGCCCTTTCTTGACTGTTAAAAGAGAAGCAAAAAAAAGCAAATGGTTATAGATCAATCAGAGCAGTGAGCATGTGCTGGAGATCTTCACAGGTTATCTCTGAAGTGGAGAATTTGTAAGTTTTTGCCCCGTCAGGCAGCAGATATTGCAAACTCTAAAGTTTATAAATTGTCTTACGATTTTAAAAATGTTTTGATTTTAGAAGGAGAATAGGCAGTAGTTTTTTGACTTATTAAAATAGACCTATAAATGAAAAATAATCTAAGACATTTCATCTTTCTTAAAGAATTCTCAGTTCATGTCTATACTATTTAATAACTAGTAATATTCCCATAGCAGTGCACATCTTCCTTGTGAAAAAATCATTAATTAGTTCTGAAAGAGAAAGAGTGTAACTGTCTCACAAAATATTACAGCAGCTGTTTGGACAGGAAAGAAAGTAGTAGTCTGACAGGACTGCCAACTGATGGACTTAGAAGCCAGCTTTGAAGGCACATCCTTGCTGCCCAAAGAAAGCTCTCTAGCTCCTCTATGTCATGCAGCCAAGTCATCATGTTAGTTATCAGAACTGCACTTCCTTTACATGGTCTCTTGTATTTGCTGAGACCCTTCAGCTGTGCCAGAGTCCTGGAGTTCAGATGAGCATCCAAGTTGACAGATCTGAGGGTTCTCAGTTTACAGAGTTACAACGTTCAGCTCTCTCAGGAGCTCTGCATTCACCCACTGTGGATAACAAAAGTGAAATAAAAATACAAAGCATATAGAAAGGCTGACATGAAGCAGTTTTGTAGTAGACTCTCACTGCTGAGCAGAGACTCTGCACCTCCTAAGCTGCATCTCTGTCTGAGAGCCAGGTGGCACTTTCAGGTCTCTAATTCTGTATCACTGACTTCTCAGAAACTGCCTTCAAAATGCTCCCATATCAAACCCCAAAATAATTAATGAGGCTTCAACTGTCACTTGCTCTTTTGACGTCTTTGTTTCAAAGTGTTGAGTACAAATCATTCTGTTTCTGAAAAGTGGTAACAGTTGTTATGCCCACAGAGACCCTGATGGAGAGGTGATCAGAGAGCTGATGCATGTTTGGACACCTCTGGGGATTTTAGAAAAGCTAAAGGAGGATTTTGAAAAGTAAAATCCACAAACTTCACCTGGCTTTGACTACACAAAATGAGGAAAGGAAATACAAAGTCACATATCAAACTATTAAAATAATTTACTATGTTTGGGTACCTACATATGGCTTATTTAATACATGTTTTTCTGTATTCACTAAATATTCTGTTTGCATATGCCTTGATGGCCATTCCAGGTTTGTTCCATTTCTGTAGTTTGGCTTATGGTTATTTCTTTTTGGTACGTATGTGAAAATTAAATATGGGACTAGTGTACTGTAGTTAAAAATCTACTAAAAGTCAGTATATGAAAAGTAAAGGGTTTAGAAAGCTTTTCTCAGAAGAAAGCTATGAAAAATAGATTTGTCTGATTTCTACTTTAAATGACAGGTTGGTTTTGTAAAGGCTCTTTGAGCGTGTACTTACTGCACAGCCGTCGTGAAGAGCTTTGATGTAAGGATTGTTGTCGTAAGACATTTCTTCATCGTTCGATCCTAAGAACCTCAGTGCTTTGTCATAGCTGTCAGATGGGGCGTCATGCCAAGCTACAGACTGGTGACAGTTATAAGTGAAATTCTGTCTGGCAGAGGCACTCAGTAGTTTAAGGAATGTCATTTGGACCATATTAATGGAATTGCCTTCAACATCTAAATAGGAGAGCTGGAAAATTCAAGAAGTTAGATGAATATTTATCTTTTTTTTTTTTTGTTACAATGCGAACTAAAATTATTGTTGACAAAAAAGAACCACATAGCTGTTCTTAAAAAAAAATTAACTAACATATAACATTTTATGGAGTTTTAAAGGTCAATACAGCTATGACTCAGTAAATAGATTTTCATAATGTAGCAATATATTTAGGACGAGGAGCCACATATTTTAGCTTCATTCCATTTGGAAAGACAGGAATTACTCCTATCTTATAGTGTAAAACAGCAGAATCTCTTTGGGAATCTGTTTTTAGTTAATCATAAAGTCATGTCAGCCTGCAGCCTCATCTTTTCATACTCAGTATATTTCCAGTTACTGCACTGGGGTGGGGGATCTGTGCTCCAGCTGCTTTTCTAAGGTTCAGTGGTGATGTGTGGTCTGCCAGAAGGCAGATCCTCACCATCGGGTGTGCAGGTGACCACTGGGATCACTGTGGGACAACACAAAGCAGGCTTCTGTTGTCCCAGTGGTAAGAGGCCACATAACTGCTGTAATATTTAGGGCAAAAAGGCTGGGGGGTCTTTTCATTATCTAAATATTTATAAAATTCCTTGGGATCTGCTGATCGCTGATAATGTGCACCTGATTTGTGAATACAGTTATGTTGCAGTGACAACTTACAAGTTTGCCTCGCTTGAATTCACTAAACCAAGATCCTGGATTCTCCTTTGGCCATGATGAAATTCTAACCTGTGCAATCAACAGCAGAGACAGAATTATTTAAAACATATATTAACAGATATGAAGGTTTTATATTACTTGGGACAAATTTCACACCAGATAATAAACAATGGTTCTTTCTGAAATCTCAGTCACTTTAAAGCTCTAAAATAGGATGTTTTTCTTGTATAGAATGCCTTCAAATTAGTGACTTTGCCAGGAACTCAAGGTGATAGCTTATAGAGTTAGTTCTAATTAAGGGAGACCATTATAATCTGTTAAGATTCAGGTAAACTGGTGGTATGAATTGTTGTTGTGAAGAGAGTCTAAATTAGAGTTTTCACTGCTGTTGCTGCTGATAGATCTCTCTCATTTAGGCAAGCTTTTAGAAAGCCTTCCTCTATACCTTCTGCTCCCTCTGATATAGGCTGTAACAGTGAGTAAGGACAGTGTTAATACATAGTGTTTTACATCTACTTTGCATAGGTATAAATGAATAGCTATAAATGAACCCACAAGAGAAACACAGTAAGAGTTTTGCTTTTAGGTGACAAATGCTAGATTATGTTGAGTAACTGGCTGCTCAGCTGTGTTGCATTCTGAAAGGCAGTGAAATGTTAGCAAGCAGGTGCATAGATTCCCTGTCTAAGACTGAAAATGGTATTTGTTAACTCTATGTACCATTTTACCACTCCATTCAGAGGTATGCAAATTTAAAAATGTAATTAGAAAGACAGATATATGAAAATGTGACAGTGTAATTATCCTGTTTAGTTTAAAATTGCAACAGCACAGTAGGATCTGTCAACAGCCACCTGAAAGCACAGATTGGTACTTACTCCTTCAGATTTCTTATCTGGGTAGATGCAAGTTTCCCCACCTGCTGTGAAATTGCAGTATACTTTAAAGGAGTCTCCAGAACAGCCCTGGTTAGGATCAATCCAATATTCCCCTAAAAGAAATGACAAAATATTTGCCTTATATAGTAGTATTGGTATTTGGATGAACTAGGCTTTACTGCTACCTAATGGTTCTCCAAACTGTGTAGCAAAGTTATTTTATCCTAATAGGAAAGCAACCTTTTCTGCCTTATGATCTGTTGCTGTTGTCATTTATGAAAGACAACACCAGGATCAAAGTTTGTTTTTATCTGGGTTCTCTTGTTTTTGTCTAGTTTGACTTCAAACTGTGGTTCTGTTGCAGGAGACTGCTGAGGTTTGAAAGGAACTGCAGACAGACACCTCGGTCTAGAGAAGGAATGACAGTATATGTGGAACATATATTGCAAGTCTCAAAAATCTGGCCATTTCAGTATTTCAGCTAGAAGGATAATTTGTCCATGTGGTGAGAGTACTCTCCAAAACAGAGCAGAGGTAGCCTTAGGCAGAAATAAGCTATGGGTTAGGTGAGAGAGCAAAATCTGGAGTAATTTGCATAGTTATCTTTATAAAAAGGTGTGTGCCCCTTTTGGGGCTTGGTGGGGTTGTAGCTGGCACAAGTACCTAAAGCTTCCACTGAGAGAGATTTACCTCACACAAAGACCTTTTCACTCCTGGGTTATGAAGATGCAGTGCTAGTGAAACTAGTGAAGGCTGGGCATGAAAGAGAGTGCAGTCCATCCAAGGTCCATTAAAAGTCACTGCTTTTTAAAATCTACTATTCTAATTATAATGATGATTTCTGTGTTGTGGGTTCTTATCTCCAGATATTTCCTAAGCAGGACAGCCATTGATTTTCTGACACTACAGGTCTAATCCCGTTTCAAACAAATAGTGGAGGTTTCAAAGAGAAATGACAAATCAGTTCTGTCTTCTGAATATAGAATATAGACAAAGCATTTATGGGATTTAAAAATTCTGTTGATTTAGGCTGTATTTATTGAAAACAGTCTTTCCTATCTGTAAGTCTTGTCCCTGGAGAATTTTGTATTTTAATGAATACATTTGCTTTTATTTTAACCAAAATAAGATTACTTTTATATGAAGGCTCCAAATAAGAAGCAAATACTGGTAAATGAAGAAGGTGATTGTGTTCTATAAAAACCATTCCCTATTATGGAGGGTACTGAATTGTAAAATATGTACTTTTCATATAGCACATACACTGCTTAACTACTCCTCAAGGCAACCATCTGTTCTTATCTATCTTGAACGAAAGCAATAAAATATTATTAAACTGTCAAAATCCATTTTTCCTTCCATTTAAAAACAGAAAAATATTGTTTTGAACTGGGAAAAATATCCATTGCAATTGAAAAATATATGAAAGGATGAAAATTCTGTGAAGGCTGGCTTTCATTTAAACCTTTTCAGAGGGGTAAACTCAGTTACAAAAAAAAAAGAAGAAAAGAACAAAGCATAATAAAATCAAGATAGTTCTTCAGAACATTGTGTCTTGTTCATACTACTTTGCATTTTATCATGCTAGTACTTGGTAGTATTAAGCAGTATCAAAGAACCTTTGCTGACTGATACAGAACAAACAGTGGTGGTGCAGTAGAACAAATTATTTTTCTAAAGGTAAAAGAATAGTAAAATTTTTGAGAGTTATAATTGATAATAAATCTTCTATGATACCAATGCTGTTTTATATTATTACGCTAAGCTAAAGTATACAGCTACTAAAATAATTACCATTAATTTTAAAAGAAGCAATTAGCTGTCCCAGCATGCTGACATTTGTGATTTTACTTTCCATTGATCTAAACAGCATCAGTCTTTCATCACACTCCTGCTTGGATTGTCCTGGAAATGTAAGGCCCACCTTTCAAAAAAACAACTGTTTTTTATTTAAAAAGTTTTAACCCTAAAACCAGATCAGGTTATGTGTTTCAAGAATTTTGGCTTTTACCAAAAGAACATCTCTTACATTTTTTAAAATTTTGTACCTGTAAAAATGGATTCAACGAGACTGTATTTGTTGAGCAACTGTATTACCCATCTCCCAGTAATTAATTATTCTGCCAAAGTATCTTGGCAGACCATAAGCTCAGCCTCGTCTCCTCTGCCATGCAATATTAACATACCATCTGGGAAGTCTGGGTGACAGAGTTGCAAGTCTTTGCAGGTTCGGGCAGGGTTATTCTGAGTGCCCATTGGGTACTTCATGTGCTCAATGTCTTGCTTCAGCGAATTCAGTGAACCAAAGATCTCTTCCATGCCATCGGAATAATCCAGAATATTGTCACCAGCATCAGATAACATATAATCAGGAGATCTTCTTGTCTTCTTGGGTGACTGGATTGGCAGTGGCTGGATTACCTCACCCGGAGGGCCCTGAGTAGAAAGCAACAGATCTGATTATCTTTTCTGTTTGTTTTTCAGCTGAGGAAGACCACAGAATGTGGCTTGGAGATGCCTTGAATAGGCTTTCTTCAAAGTGTTTATTTCTTTATTTCTCTTAATTCCTTCAGATTTATACCTGTGTGTTTTGATTTACTGGCAAAAAAAAAAAAGACTGTAGAAGCCAAACCCTCATTGTGCTCTAAACTCTTCTCACTACATTGCTGTTTGGGGAAGAGTGTGTTGCCCTCACATAACTGTGTAGAACTGACTTGCAGTTACCTCTGTATCCCTGACAATTCCCTTGAGCACAGACATAGTCTGTGAAAACTGTGGATGTTTCCTGTGATAAAACTTCAAAATTCCACTTGGGGTCTATGAAGCAATATTTAATTTCAAGAAATTGAAACACTTCATTCAGATTTGGACTCTTTTCATTTTATGTTATTATGATACGAAAAATAGTGGAAACAGAAGAATGTCAGCAGGGGAAACTAGTATCCTTCTATTTTCTGTGCTTCAATATACACCTTAAATAATTATTGCATGAGGGTTTTTTGTTTGTAGGGGGCATATAGGGGGTTTTTGGGTGTTTTATTTGGGGAGGTGTTTGTTTCACATTTCTAATGGACTTTGCAGTGCAGACATGTATTTCTGTGTCTGGGGATCTGTGAAAAATGATTCTCGAAAAATTAATTTTCAAACAATCATTATTATTTTAGTTCAAAAATGCTGGGTTTTACCCTTGTCAAAACAGGGGGATTGTGTCAATGTAATGCCAAGATAAGAATTCTTACTTACTGGAGGACCAGGTGGACCAGGTAACCCACTGTCACCCTTTTGACCAGCAGGACCCTATAAAGCAACGAAAGAAATGCAGTGTTGGCCATGCTACACAATGTTTAAAAATAACACACAAAACTTAAGTAAAAGAACAAAAAATAAGAGAATTACTCACGCTGGATCCTTTAGAACCCTTTGGACCCTGGGGACCCTATGGACAAGAACATAGAACTATAGTTGGAGTTTATTGCACACAATGTGGAAGTGTTTTGAGCAGGAGGACTGGATGAAATTACTTACAGGTAAACCAGGAGGACCAGGGGGTCCAAGTGGACCAGCAGGACCAGAAATTCCCTAAAAATGAATAAGAGAATAAGCACAGAACTAAAGTATTCTACATACTGCAGTGGATTAAAAATGCATACCTATGAAAAAGGTAGTCCAACTAAATCAAATGAGTTTTGATTTAGGCCATTTGCTAGGGGCCAAAAGAGTTTGCAAATTTAAAATATTATCTGACAGTTGAGTTGCTTGTAGTTGTTCTTACACTGCAGTCACAACTGTGTTCCTCTTCAAACTGGTTTGGAAAGCTCACTTTTTACACAGTGTCTTAATAACAAGGAGAAAGGAAGCTACTTTGAGTCATACAGTTAATAAACTTGATGAGATTGGTGCTGCTAGTTTTATCTTGTCCCTAACTTGTGTTATGTGTGTATAATGTGGTGTATGTGTTTCCTTCCATTTTCTCAAACATTCTATAATCTCATTTTAAGCTGTTTAATTTCACTGTGTTTGTACAATGCCTAAGAAAGTTTTAACCTCTGGCAGGAGACTCTGGGTGTTAAATGTTTATAATAACTTTGTCTTTCAAAAGAAAGCCTGGAGTATGTGCTCCTTGCTTGTATGGAACTTGAATGGAAACACAAATGTGTTGTACTCACTGCATCACCCTTGGCTCCAGGAGATCCCTGTGGGCCAGGAAGACCCCTATCACCCTTTTCACCCTGTTCTCCTGGAGGTCCAATCAGGCCAATCAAACCAGGATGTCCCTAAACAAGATTGAAGAAAATATAGTTAAAACTCAATATACATTAGAATGTGTTTTGCAGACACGTAAATTAGACCTTTCACATGTTATCACTGTTGCTTGACAACAATAAACCTGAAAATGAATTATTCTAAAAGCATATTTGTTGTTGTTAGATGGCCTTTTAAACTTTATTTGCAAGTTGTGACTGCTTATTTAGTGAAAGATTCAAGTGCAAGATGGTCCTTAGTGAAACTGATGCAGAAAAATTGTACCTATGGGTACAAATTTCATACCAATTTTCACATTTATATGCTATAAGCATATCATAGAGTCGCACATTTGTTCCACATGTGATATAGCTGTATAAACAGCTGATCCAAGGAGATAAAAAACCCCTGAAATTCACAAAGTACAGTCATTTTCATATCCCTTTCTCTACAGTTTTTCTCTGATTCACAAGCAATCAATAAATTTTTGTGACTCTGTTAGAAAATGCTACCCCAGATGTCTCAATACATTATTTCGAAAGAAAGTACTATAGCTTTTAAATATATATATTTTGTTGTTTTAAAATAAAAATCTCCAGTGTTTGTTATTTCTACTTACTTTGTTCTTGTAAAACTGACAGTTCTCTTTACATCAATATCTTTGGGATTTTCATTGCAAGGACAGATCATGTGTTCAATACACAGGCAGTAATCTTTTTCTTCCTATTACCAAGGCACAAACAATGCTAAAGCATACCTTCTCTCCTTTGGAACCTGGATCTCCTTTCAGTCCAGGCAAGCCAGGTGGACCCTAAATAAATCAAGGGAAGTAATGTTAAAATAAGTTTTAACATACTGCACAGATCATGTTTTCTTGAAATATTATTAAAGGCAGTGCAAAACAAAGTGCATTTATGTGCTTTGTAACAGTTATGTACTTATCTAATCAGAGTACATAGGTTGATGGTAGTGATTGATGGAATGTGATTTATAGCCCAAAATAAAGTTGAAATATATGTTTAAAAAGGCAAATTGATGCTACTGTGGTATTTAAATTTCTTTATAACTAGAAATCTATAAAGGGTTGTATGATTAGAAATCTGTGAAGCCGAGGGCCAACTAAATTCTTGATTTGTGAAATCTTCAGATGTTTATAAGAATGGCAGTACTGGTTTTGAGTAATTTGTACAGAGTGGGGTGAAAAATTCAGGCCAAGCAGTGCATATGTAAGAGACATTAATTTCTCAGGGGCTATTAATCTCACCCTGAACATGTATACATTAGGTGTAGAGCTGCTAGACTAAGTCAGTCTCTCCTCACTGCAAGTCTCCTGGTGGCAGTGGACATCTGTGAAATTCTGATATGGATGGCAGTAATAAGTGACCTTTTCAACCTGGCACGGTTTCAGCAGTGCCATAACACTTCACGTACAAAATGTTATTCACTGCGTATGCTTCCCATCTCCACTTCAGGATATCACCAGATGCAAAAGCCTAGGCAAATACATAATTCATAAAAGAAATGTAAAATTTTTAAGCTTTTGGAATACAGAATCAGACTTTTCACCTGCAGTGTGTTGTGCTCTACTGCAAATCAGCTTTCATATTCTTCTGATAGCAATCTGCTGCAGAGGATGGGAGGGGAAGGAGGGAGACCTAACCTCAGCATCTTTTACATATAAACTTTACTTTCTTAAAATCCAAAATTGAGTTGCAGCAGTGTATTGGAAAAAAGTTCTTGTTGAGCTGACAGGAAGTCTGTGCATTTGGGAGTATATAGTTCATTAATATACTCAGCTTCAGATTTGAATTGAATATTTAAGCTCTCAAATATTGGAAGAGAGATCTTTTGATGATGTATTTGGAGGCTTCTAGTGACTGACGTGGGAAAAGGATGCTTGTTATTGCTGAATAATTGTTCATTGGCTTTTAGATTTCAGCACAGAATTGTAAGTGAGGAGATCAGTTTTCAGTTCCCTGACTTGTACCCCATGCATTTTATCTGTAAGCTAACCACAAAATTTAAAAAGTGTGGTGGTGGTCCCATCATAAACTCTTTAGAGAGAAGATGCACAAGGAATCCTTTTCCTTTCAGCTTCTCATATTGTTCCCAATATGAGAATGTATAAACAATATGTTATCCATGAGACTTTAGACAAAATTAGAATGTTAAAACAAAGGGCAACAAAGAGATGTAATGTAAAGCTTCATCATTGCATTATTTGCTCATTATTGTTTTCTAAAGGACAGAGAAAAATGAAATTAAATGTAGGTGCCATTGTAATATCATCTATAATTATATATACAGAAGTTATCAATGCATATATCTATGTACCAGATCACTGTTCATTGGAAAAAATCTTTATGGTGTGGGGGGCATAAAAATATATGTTCTGAAACTCTTTGCTTATAGGTTAAGTGCTTTTTCTGTTCTGGCCCTGAAAGGAAGGGAACTCACCAGAGGTCCAGGAGGGCCATCCTGACCTGGTGCTCCAGGTAGGCCTTGTTCTCCCTAGAAAAAACAAAAAGTTTGCTTTACCAGAGTATACAGAAGAAATGAGATATTTAAAATATTATTATGTGTTCCCATTACTTACCACAGGGCCAGGAATGCCCCGGAGACCCTCTGGGCCAGGTTTCCCAGCAGGTCCCTGTGGACCAACTGGACCAGTTTTACCAGGAGCCCCTTCCGCACCAGGTTCACCCTAGAAAAAACATAATGGGTCAGAGAGGGAGAGGCAGCTTGGCACTGCAGGGATAGACAAGATGCAAAGTCAGAGCAGAGTTTCCTTGCTCTGTTAAAAGCCAAACCAGCGTTCTGCACAGGACAATTCCCTGTAATTCCTTCATATAAAGATGTGGTGCCAGCAAAGCACATTCATCTTGCCTTTTACAAGGGTGAGCTACGTTGGGCCTGCACAGGGGAGACTCCACTCCATTGTGTATTGCTGCTAATTCTGGGTCTTCATTTGGATTTCACAGTTTAGCTATTATTACTTTGATAAGTTGTGCACTCACTGCGTGATAAGCAATTTACTTTTAATTTATAAATAGTTTATATTTCCATGCTTCTAAAAAAATCTTCAGTGATTACCTTTGCACCTTTTTCACCTTGTCTGCCTTCAGCACCAGTTGCTCCAGGAGGTCCCTGTAAAATATGGACACTAAGCTCATAATCTTAGTTTATTCAAATATAACCAGTGAAAAAATCTGGAAGTGTAATTTCCATTATATTAATAAACTTACAAAACAACATTAAGTTTCTTTCTTGACATTTTATTCATAGGATAAAAAAATACCAATCTGTCCTAGCAGCTCTTTTTCCCTGGTAAAATTTCCTGGGTTTTTAGAATATCTGAAAGAATATGCATTGCCTAACACATCTGACATGATGAGGTTCAAACCAAAGAAATAGCTTGGAAAAAAAATTAAAACAGGATATAAATGGAAGTGAACAATACAAATTTATACATACAATAACAGTTTTAAACTTGCTTTGCATTGACTTCTATCTATTTGCTGTAGTTTATCCACTGATTCCAAAAGGGCCTGTCATTCTGTAGTGCACAGAATGACAAGTACTTCTTTATTCTCTAAATCAGGGATGGGCTCAGTAAGCAGCCTAACTACATTTGGACAGCCAAAAATCCACTAAATATGAAAGTGAAAAATAAAAAGACCTTTTTCTCCTCCAAAACATCAAGGGCTGATTTTTAGGTCAGGTAATTAATATTCATAGCTTCAGTCATGAACAGAAGCAGTGTCTAGGATCTAATGTACTCTTCTGAAAATGGTTCTCTTATATATACTTAGTTTAGAAAAGATGCACTCAAGATAATGGACCAACTGTTCTCCTACAAGGTTAATTTTTAGCCTGGGAAATGTCTTCATTACAAGTAGCTAGTTCTATAAATCCTAAGACTCAATCTGTTCATTAATGCAACAAGCAGTTTGTTATGTAGAAATTAAAAAAAAAGTTTTAAGGACCAACAAGAAGAAAAATTCAATCACTTCCATTTATTTACTGCTTTTTACTTCGTAACAACATACAGAAAACCAATGCAGGCCCCCTAAAAGTAAAGCACCAGAACATTCTTAATTTCACAGATAAAACCTGTACTTCCAGTCAAGCATCTACCTGTATCCTTTGTGAGCTCAGGGACTGAGACCAGCATTTGACCTAATAGCAAGTTTTTATACTAGAGCTGAATCTAGCCCAACTTTTTATAGCCTGATATATCACTGTCCACTACTACTGTCACATACCTCGAGCAACTCCACCAATTTTAATTCCTGGAAATTTATATTCATTTTACAACTATGTACATAGAAGTATATTAAGATCATTCATTTGCTTCTGAAATTAAGCTTTCTCCAGGGTGGAACTGAACATCTGCAG